ATGTGTGTGTATATATATACGTATATATATATTTATATATGTATTAATACTACAATTTGAAACAAAGCTTCGTAATATCACATCAGAGCTGTCTGTCCCTTTGCGTTTCGGCTTCTTCTCTTAAAAAAATCTCCACTAAAAGTTCAAACTCATGGGCAATTTTATTAAAAAGTACAAAAATATAATTAAAGTTTTGCACTATGCATAAGTTCCTGCGCTTTTGTGAACAATCTGATGTATGCCTGGATTATTGAGCATGGACTTTGTTGTTAATCTGATGTATGCATCACTGCAGGAGTTATCTGAACTTTTCAGTGAACTGCAAAAAAAGAGACGATGATCTCGGCTCATAAAGCTCTTTGTTGTGCAGCACGAGTATTTAAAGCGATGTCGGAGTGACCAGGACGCACCCTTAAAAAGGGACTCTGTAAAACTGTGCTTTTTTCTTTTCAGATACCAACCCTCTGACGGGGCCCCTCTCTCAGCCGCAGGGTGACGACACCGATGGCCCTGAGCCTGAAGTGGCTGAAGACGAGGACAGACTGCAGCCACGCTCTGACGACGAGGACACGTAAGACTCACTGCTGCATTTAACATCACATCTGCTGCGTTTACTAAACTGCTGCAGTCTCTGAGTTTGTTCTTATCGCTCACCGCCAAAGTTTGAAAATGAACAATGATGTTTTTGCTCAGGTCTTTGTGCCTGTCTGTTACCAAAGGCACATCTACAACAGATCAATTATGGGAGCAAATTTAATCCAAGATGGCTGCCACTGCTAATTGACATGAGCCAACACAAAAATGGCTGGAATTCAGTTTTACACCTGTTCACCACTCACAAATTCTGCATGTTTTTGTTGCTTTTCATCAAAACAGCTGCAGAAAGAATCTGAAGTCCAAACTCTCAGCTGGTCAGCTCAGGCCTTTGCAGAACTATTTAAAAAAATTGTATTCAAAAAAATAATAATAATAGCTCCCTTGCGCCATCTGAGCTCCTTCATGTCTTCGTTCATGTTTTCCTCTCGTTCTCAGTTCAGATGATTTTAGTTTCATCCACGGCCTCTTGGGCTGAACTTTAGCTTCATTTGAATGTGACCGACCTCAACCTGAAACAGAGTCTGGACTTTATGCTCCTTGATTAAACAACCGTAACATGAACATATTGTTTTATAGCTCAAATAACAGATATTCCTGAGCCTAACTGCAAGTCTGCACCTGGTATAATAAAC